ATAGGTCAGAAGGTGTAAGGAAACAAATAAGGAGAGGACTGTAGGTTTGATATTTCATGAGACCAACCTATGCCATCAAAAACTATACAAAAATCTTTGGACAACCAAGATCTTTTTTACGCGTCTGAGCTAGAAGCTGCAGTTCTCATGGTACTGGTTGGGAAGGATAGCTTTGAGATCAGTTCACTTTCAATCAAATACTTTTAATAGTCTAAGGTAATGACACCGACTGCCCATAGAGGGAACTGGCAAGGGGAGAGATGATATGCTTGGGCGGTCCAGGAACATGTAGGGAGCACCTGAGGACTGAGGGATTAGTGGGTGAAACAGTGCAGGATGACGTGAAGCACACATCTGTGCTGATTTTCACTGGCTAGCAGAGGTGAATATTGCTCCCTAGGTTTATTTTTGGTAGGTTTTTCTCCAGAAAGGTGAGCAGAGGTGGGCTGCTTGTTTCATGGAAAACTATCCTCTCATGGGAAGCTGGTTTAAAGGCTGTCTGGGAGAGGTCATCCCAGTGGGCAGTGGTCATGGGCTCGCTCCCTCAGAGGCTGGTAGCACATCACAGCTGGAGTCTTCCCCCCTCAAATTCTGCACTGGGGAAGATAATAATAAAATCCAAATAAGTAATAGGAAATCCAAAATATAGCCTATATATTCACAAAGTAGATTTTCTCATTATTTGGTATTTTTTCCTGTCATCTCAGCTTGTCTGATAAACTTGTGCAGCCATCCCCAAGCCATTTTGACTGTCTTTTCTGACATGAGAAAAACCACACTATTGATTCCCTTCAGGTTAATTTAGCTATGAGAGGGTGTGAGTGTGGTTATGTGGGTGTGGTGCATGGGTATGCTTATCAAAATCAGATAACACCAGGAAACTAATTACAACTTTTAACTGCTGTTGCAATCTCTTCTGTGGAAGAGAAGTTTTCACATGAATATTTCTTGCATTAGAGGTGAAACCAGATCCCCGTCCCGCACTTGCTGTGTTTGGAGGGCTGCCAGAAAAACTCCTTTAAAAAGGCATTCCTGCTGGAATATGTCACGGACTATTCTCGCTCCCAGCTCTGACGGGCTTCAGATGGGGAGCTGGAATGCAGACCTCCCAGTCACACACAGGAGTGGCAGCATTCGCAGGGCTCACGTTGCAACCTAGAGAAAATAAGCATCAAGGCAGGGGCAATATCAGATGAAAGTGACAGGAAGGAAGAAGCAAAACCATGTGCTGTGTGTGGGGAACTCAGCAAATCCACAGCTCCACAAATCTGCGCCTAACACTAGCCAGAGCTTAAATCAGTGTAATGATTAGCTGGGATTTACACATAACGTACGTCTACTAAGAACTTATTTTTATTGCTTTTAAAGGTGGTAGCCCCACAGCAGAATGGCTGCTTGAAGCATAGATTGAAAAGCAAAGAGAGAAAGAAGCATCTGAGCTGAGTAAGGTGAGAATTAGAACATAGAAAACTCTTTGAGGCAGAGCATTTGACGCAGAGTCCTCTTCCTGAATCTTCTGGTTAGCCCATCTCCCTTAGAAGGGGCTACCCTGCTGTGTGGAGAAAAAGGGGTAAATACATACATTCTGAGCTAGGGATAATTTCATTTTAGGTTCTTTGTTTCCCAGGTATACTTCAAACAAGCAGACCCCACCACCTCCCACTAAATATTTCCTGCTTCCTTTGGTGTCATGTCAGATTAAACTTGGACTGTCTTTTACAGATCATGTGAAAATGGTTCTATTTTTGCTGGGTAACTGTCATGAATATCAACATATCAAGTAGAACAGACTGTGATAATAGAAGTGTTGATCTCTGTGGCTGCTGAAATAGTGGCAGTAAGTGAATCTCACTGATACTTAATTTGCAAATTGAGTTGCACCTATTTAGGGAGGGGGAAACAGCAATGCTCATATTGATGAGAAATTCAACATTTAAAACCACTCCTTATTAATGATTCAAAACATACAGTTCCTAGGAGCTGTAAACAAGTTTGGTATTCTGCACACTAATTCATAACCATTATCATATGTAGAGAACAAGAAGTTACTCACAAACAGATGTTCCCAAACCCATTCATTTAAGGCACATTTTACTTTCCAAGTCCTAGTTAGCAACTTTCTGTGGTGGGTGGATTACATGAAAGGATGGGAAAGCAGGGATTAGTTTGCCTGCAAAGGAGCAACATCTCCATGTCTGTTCTGGAGTCTTTTCTATCTTGCCTTGCTTGGATGAGTTATTCATTTTAGCCTTGCCCTTTCTACCCTGGAGGGCACTCAGCTTTATGTTCTGAGGCACTGTGAGGCACTATGAGATGCCAAACTCGTTCTATTACCAGACAGCTCTATCATTAAATGTGTTCTTTGCACTGACTGGTAATGAAGCCTGGCATTCACAAATGCTTCTGCCCAGAGAAGGCAATTATCTTGCTGTAAGTTATAGGTGAGTTTTCAGGGAAAGAAATGCCAACAGCTAAGGGAGAAGGAAGAACTACTGCTTGAAGTATTATTTCAAAGTGACTTTGTGTTTCTCAGGGCCGAGTTCAGCCATACTTGAGTACCTCCAAGTATGGAGATCCCACCACCATTCTGGGCAACCTGTTCCACTGGTTAACTACTCTTGAAAATGTTTTCTGCATGTCCGGCTGGAATTTCTCTTGCAAATTGTAACCACATCTACTCTCCTTTTTCTGTGCATGTCCAAGAAGCATGTAACTCAGTCTTTGCTGTAACTTCCTATTCAGTAGATGTAGGCAGCATGAAGACCCTCCCTCAGCCTTCTCTTCTCCAGGGTTAACGAATCCAGTTTTTGCAGTCTCTCCTCCTGCAGCGTGTGCTGCAGCACCATGACCATCTTGGGTGGTGACCCTCTACTGGACTGTTTCTAATTTGTCAATGTCCTTCTTTTATTAGGAGGCCTGAACTGAACACGGTAATCCAAATGTAGTCCCACGAGTACAAAACAAAGGGGATCTTTACATGGATCCTTACAAGGAAAAGTTCTATCATGAATTACAAAGCTGACCAGGCTGTGCTGAACTCTCTGAGAACTCCTTCACTGCAATTACTTAAAGAGGGCTTATAAGAAAGATGGGGAAAGACTTTTTAGTAAGGCCTGTTGCAGTAGGATAAGCAATAGTGGTTTTAAACTGAAAGAGATTTAGACTAGATATAAGGAAGACATTCTTTATGATGAAGGTGGTCAAACACTGGAACAGACTGCCCAGAGAGGTCCTAGGTGCCCCATCCTTGGAAATATTCAAGGTCAAGTTGGACAGGACTCTGAGCAACCCAATCTAATTGAAGATGTCCCTGCTCACTTCAGGAGGAGGGGCGTGAATTAGATGTCCCTTCCAATGTAAACTATTCTATGATTCTGTGGTTTAATTAGCATGCTACTAACCCTTTCTGCTACCTTTCTGAGAAAGCCAAGGAAAAGAAGACATGGCCAGACTCTTCTCAGTGATATTTAGTGAAAGGACAAGAGACAATGGACACAAACTGAAATACAGGAAATTCCATTTGAATGTAAGGAAAATTACATCATACTGTGCAGATGATCTAATACCATTCAGTTTGCCAGAGGGGTTGTGAAGCCTCCATCTTTGGAGATGCTCAAATACCAGCTGAAAATGGCCCTGAGCAACCTGCTGTGGCTGACCCTTCTTTGAGCAGGGGTAGGCTGATGCATGGGTCTCCAGCGGTGTCTTTCAACCTCACCTATTCTGTGATCCTGTGAACTGCTAAGTGGGATTAAAGAAGCTATAAGGCAGGTTATAGGAAGAGGGAATTTCTATTACCCACATTTGGATCAATGCCTCATCAACATGAGATCCAGAGATACAATAAAATACCATTTTCTAAAAACCCTATCCTAGAACCCACAAAAAGATGCTATTCTGGATTTAATGTGGATGGCACACAGAACCTCCTTCAAATGTTAATGGGAGAGCAGTTCTGTGATGATAATCACGGTACAGTTAGATCAGTGTTGCAATGGGAAAGAACGACCCTTGTTGCAAGAGTATTTAAAAATGAGATTGAAGTAAAAAAAAGGAGAAAAAAAAAAGAAAGCAAACCTTAAAAAGAGCAATGAAAAACCCAGAAGAGGACAGGCAGCTGAGCTGCTGTTAAAAATTCTTCTATTAAAATCCCAGGTGAAAGTCATGCCACAATTTGAAAAGAAAACAATGTGGTCCAAAAAGGCTGCTTCATGGCTCAGCAGGAACATTAAGGATGGTATCATAGACAGTAAGTTAATGTTTAAAAAATTAGAAGCTTACCTGAACTAGAAGAACAGGAAAGCACATAAAATATGGCAAGTCAACCAGATACCAGAAATTAAAAGGGCTAAAAAGGAATGTGAGTTGAGTGTTGCAAAGGCTGATAGTAAATAGTTCTTTATATAGCAAAGGCAGGAAGCCAGCTAATTTGATGACAAATATGTAAAAGGGCACTCAGGGAAGACAAGGAATCAGCAGAAATACTCAGTGAGTTTTATGTACCAGTCTTTCCTGGTACATAAAAAGCCCCTGGGAGAGCCCCAAACCTAACATATACTTGATAGCATTTCATTAGAAGAGCTAGACCAATCTGAACTTAATTTACAGGAAATATCAGCCGAAACAGAGGATTGGAGGTCAGTAAACCAGCAGGACCAGGCGCCATTTACATGGTAGTTCCTATGTGAAGCTGTAGGTATATAAACTGTCATTACAGGTGGCCTCTGTGCCAGAGGAGGGCAAACTTGCCAGTGTAGCTCCCAGCTAGAGGGGTCTTGGGCAACTACAGACCAATGAGTCTAACTTCAATCCCTCCTGTGACAGAAGAGCCATAAGACCACTATGCACACAGAGAAAGGTGATGTCAAGGGAAGCAGTCAACATGATTGCTTTAAGGGACAATCCTGCCTTATCAGTCTGCTGGAACTCCTTGGCAGGATAACAAGTACATAGATAAGTTGGACATAACGTATTTGGATTTTCAGATAGCTTTGACAGTTTCTCAACAAAGGCTGAGAAGATACTAAGTCACCATGGACAGGGAAAAAGGGTCCTTTTGTAATCTGAAAGTGGAAAGGAAAGGTTAGGGCTCAACACTGACTTTTCAGGTCACACAAAGGCAAGACAACGTTTTGGGGAGAATAATCTAAATCTTGCTCACCTGGTGCTGAACTCACAGCTGGCAGCCATTACTCAAGGAACAGCTCTTGGAGTCACCATTGACAGTTCCCTGAAAACCTTGGCTCAGTGGTTGGTGGCAGCCAGAAAGCTGGGAAAATGGTGAGCATCCTCAGGGAATCTGCTGAGAAGAAGGTGGAGGGCACCATTTTGCTGCTCCAGCTTCGTGCACCCACATCTGAGGTAGGGTGTGTAGTTCTGGTCTCTGCATCTGCAGGATACAGCAGGTTACAGAATGGCAACCAGAAGTGCCAAGGGGTTCAGCTTCCTTAAGAGGAAAGACTGGAATACCAGGATTGTTCACGTTAGAGAGGAGATGGCTGAGGAGTGATCAAGACTTCTTTGTACTCTTATCTTTCAGAGTATAGAGCTGGGTGTGAAATCTGGTCACCTGGCAGTGAGGGAGCAACTTGCTAAAAAGAAAAGCAATTGTTTCCAGGAAGCCAAAGGGGTTTGTTGATGGTATTGGTAGTTCCCCAGAGGAACTTGTTGTCACAGGGACCAGGGTTGTTCCTCTGATCTCATCACACCCTGTGCCCAGGAGGCTCTGCAGATGGCTAAGCAATGTCATGTGTTCTGCAGGAAGTCAAGTTTTTGTTCTGTCACCCTTGAGCCAAGGACCGACCCAGTCCATGGGTGTGCAGTAGTGATGGAGCTTGTAGTTGAGAAGAAGCAGAGGTCCTGCAATCAGTGCTGAGGCATTGCCATTAGAGCAAGGCATTTGCTCCAGTCTTCTGGCCAACTTGTTTTGAGTGTCTTTTGCCATTATGTGGTTTGCAGTTGTGTCCCAAAGGAAAATAAATTTTGTGTGTGCCCTTTATGCTCTTTATAGGATCTAAAAAAAAAGGGGGGTGTGTGGGATGGAGGAGAGGGGGAGTCCTTTGTTTTGAGTTTCCTTCCAAACAGGATTTTTTTGGTTGTCTTTGGATTTTTTTGCCTTGTTTTGTTTTACTGGTTAATGTCATCATTCATCTTTCCTGTTTTTGCTGTAGGACTTATTAGATGGTTCACAGATGTGCACTGGAAATTCCCTCATTGGAAATGAAAAGGTAGTGTGCTGAATCTCAAATACAAATAATCTTCAGTTGTAACTTGAGTTGGTATTGCTCACAAAAGCAGCCAGAAAAGAGATTTCACCAGAACTTGTTGCTTTGGTTTCCTTTTTCCCTGGAATTTTAAAAAACTGCCTCCCAATACTTGCGCAAGCCCCAAAATAGGTTTTTACAATAACATCACAGCTCAGTTGGCAACCTTCCCCAAAACAAGTCTTTCCTCATCCCATACTTTCTTCAGCCCTTTGCTAAATGCAGTGGAACTTTCTAAACAACAAAACCTGTTTTTTTTCCTTCATCTCTTCCCATTTAAAGTAACTTGTTGCCTGTTCAAGTATCCGTTTATGCTGTTCACCACAAAAATGCCAGGCTGATTTGTAGACATATTTCCCTGGTTCTCCCTATCAGCTGTTCTCAGGATCTCCTGCATACATATTTTTCCACTCAAGCTTGTACCTGAGCTCCTAGATGTGACCCTCTCTCAGCTTTCCAGGTTTCCTCAGAGGAGTTCCCACCACATCTGCTCCACATACTGAGCACCTTTGGAGATGCTGAACCTTTTATCTTTCTTAATTTTGCATCTTCCTGTTTCAGACAGGACATCTGGTTTTTAATGGAAAGCCATGACTCTCAAGGCCACCAGTGACAGCCCTATACCATCTGGCCCATTAAAACAATATTCCCAAATACTTCTGTGCATATAGTATGTCATATTTTCTTCATAACATGTGGCAAAAAGCACTTGGTTGGAAAATGTACTATTCACTGAAGATGGTGGCAAACACCCCCATGTCTGCTGTCCCACCCAGTGTGGGAGTTCATCATGCTCCTGCAGAGAAGCTGCCTGACGATTCAGCAGAGAAAGGTGGCTGAGCACCAAGGGTGCCAAGCATCTCTGGAAATTGTATCGTGTTGTTTTCATTAGTTTCCAACCTTGGTAAGCTGGAATTGACAGAACGCTCTGAGGGAGTTCAAAATCAGAACAACTGAATCACAGCAGACTCACTGGAATGACAGAAGGCAACAGCAAGCAGAAGTCTGCGTGAGTCATCCTCAAGACAGAGGCCAGTGAAAAGGGTGGGTGTGCTTTGTACTAAAGCACGTGGCTCTTCTGGGGACATGAACTTCTCAGGGGCTTCTGCTGTCCTATTCTGGTGTAAATGCAAACAGTCTATTGCTTTCTATGAATTGCTCTAGGTACGGATGGGCGCTGTTAGGAGCATGGAGTACAGTGCCACAAAGGGTGTTGGTCTGATTCCCACACATCAGCAGTGTCCCAGCACCCTTGTGTTTTGACAGTTTGTAAAACTGATGTTGTGTAGTTCACAGTAGACAGCTGCCTGGTAAATACAGCCACCACCAAGCTTTTGCTCAAAATCCCAGAAGGAAATGAGCTCCCCCATCCTCTACATATCCTGTGTTTGTTTCTAGAAGGACATGTTTTACCCTGCCATCTTCAAATCAAGTAGTTCAAATCAAAGAGATACAAACTGCTCATCTCTGATAGAGACTGATATCTCTTCAACATGCTGAGGCTGCTCCCAAATGTCCTTCTGTCAGAATGAGCTGGGTGAGATCAGGCAGTTTAAGTCATCTGTTGGCTTGATAATTTAACTCCTTTTGACCCCAAAAGGTGAGGGATAGCCCAAATGAATGCTCGCCCTATCAGTGTGCCAGTGCATGGGGGCTGAGCAGCCAAGTTCTCACCCTCATGCTCCCTGCTGCTGAGTGCCAGACAGCATGTTTGAGCTACTCCTTCCAAGTGACTCCAAAAGCTGCCTCTGGCCAGGCTCCTGATGAATTTTCCATTCAGGGCACTGTTATCTGCAAGATGTTATGCTTCCACATCATGGTCCAAGCAAGGATCTCAAAGCTCTTCATGGATGCAAATGAGCACAATCTCACCAACAGCCTTCCAAGAGGGGGACCATCAAAAGCCTCAGCTTGGAGCCATAGTAATGGAGCTATTTCTCTTGGTCCAAGGATGCACTGCTGTACCTCCCACCAATGATGGAACACCCTCAGCTACAGCCAGTGGCAGAAAGAGCTGAGGGCACTCAGCACAGTGACTGAATGGGTTCCCATCCTGGCAGGGAGAAAACAAAGGGCAACATCCAGCCAACCTGTTAAAAGCATCCCACAAGGTTGTACTCCTACAAAAGTGTCCACAAGCGAACCTCAGCACCTGCAGATACCTGTCCCTTCTCTGAAGGAGCAGCTAGCAGGGACTGAGGTGACTGAAACAGAGCCTGTCCTCTGTCCTGCTCCCCTGGCTCTGCCTGGCTTTATCTGTCCTGGGTTTGCTGCTTTTGCTGCTCTTTTTGTCTGTCACAGAAAGAGTGCCAGCGTGACCATAAACTCTGTGTTCTCCTGTGGCGAGGCCCCTCCACATTCAAAGGAACAAAGTCAGGTTACTATTTACAATAAATATTCTAATTTCAGTGTGTGAAACCATTGTCTTGACAACTTCTTTCTGTGGCTAAGCATGAAAATGTTTGCTCAGACTGGACCAAGGTCTATTTCAAGTGAAAACCTCACAGACAGGCATTCCTGCATCCTACAGCATCGTTGGGACAGTCAATGGTGGCTCAGTCCCTAAGAAGCATTGCTGCTGTGCACATGAATGAGTGGCTAGCACTTCCAGGAAGCTAAGTGATGGGCAGTTCCACTTTTTAATGCTCTCTGATGTCCAGTAAAAATATATATGCTAAAATATGTGTACCAGCTGCCTTGATCTAAGCATCTGACTTACCTGCATGTTCCCACCAATCTTCAGCAGCAGAAAAACATCTCCTGGATACTCCTTCATTTCTAGTTTCTCTGTATCTCCATGTGAAAATCTAGTGTCTGATGAGCTGGTTTTTTTTTTCAGGTTCTTTTTGGGTTTTTAAACCACATTATTAGATGTCTCCCAGAAAGTTTATCCTCATGATTCTGTGGTATGAATACTCCTCAAGGTATTACGTATGGCATGCAGCTTCTCAGACTAGCAGAGGAAAGGTACCCAGGTGAACAAACAGAAATACAATTACATATTCTTGCGCCTTCTATACATGTAAAGGTCCAATAGGTATGTAAAGCTACAAGGCTTGCATGTAGAAACATGATAAAAGCAAAACCAAAGGATATTCTCTACAGAGAGCCATGGCACAACAGTTGAAGTGACATATATGTATGCGCACATGTGCATATGGTGCATTCCTGTCCTGTGGTGTTACTACCTTGGAAAACTAAAAAATAAGACAAAATGATCACACTTTCTTAAAAATGATGAGACTTTAAAAAGTCAACATATAGAGAATTCTCTGTCTTCCACTTTTTCAGTCTTCAGGTTCTGCTCTGGAATATACTTTCAAGCTTAAAAAACAAGCATTGTTGAGATTCCTATCTACCCAGAACAGGGCTGGAAAAGACACCATTTGTCATGAGCCACACACTGAAGCTGTGAGAGCTGGCAGCGGTGACAGTATAACAATTAAGAATAACATTTTTTCCAGATAGGATAAACACCATTTGTCACTTCATAAGCTTTAGGATTTGAAACTGGAACTACAACTATTTCCTTTTCTCCAGATGTAGATGATGTTGCTTCATCTTCTGACATTGCAAATATTAGTAGGCATCATTAAATGAAATTAAAAGCCTCTTCTTTTTGAGCTCCTCTCCCTTCTCCCTGAGTTCTGACACTGTTTTCTTAAGCATTGACATAGAAGTCATCCAAGTGCTTTACTGCTGATTTGCTGTATTACTTCAGACTCAAAATATAAAAGAAAAGAAAGATTCAGAAAGGATGACAGTGTGTGGGAATACTTGAACTTCTCAGTATCCATACTGGAAAAACCTGGTATTTGTTATGGCAGTGTGTTTTGGAATTGCAGGTCTAAGGGCTGTGTGACAGAGGTAAATTTGCAGCTAAATTGGATGCCTGGGTATCTTTTTGTTATGACAGTTGCACCCTGTATAGAAATATCAATAAAGCTGCTGGCTATTCACTCCATATGTCAGCAAATGGGAGAGGGATGTGACCGTGTCTGTGGGTGCAGTTGGGAATGCTTACTGCAGCACCATGGAGCAGAGGAAAACTAGGAAGGATCCCAGCAGGATTTCCAGATATTCCCAATGCAACAATCTGGTGTGCATCACCCAGAAAGCTATGGAAGTGCTGGATGTGTAACAGTTTTAAACACTACTGAAAATCCTTCAGCCAAAAGGAGGCCATTAGACGAAACATAACTGGAGGGTGCTGGATGGACCATTTTTTCTCAGCAAAGTTAAAAAGGGATTTCTAATGACCACAGATAAATAGGATCCAGGCGTCTCGCCTCTGAGATGGTGTAATAGAATGTTATAGAGGAAGATGAGCCAAACAAATGGCCAGCACCAGCAGCACTCCCTGCAGTTCTCAGGTCTTTCTGAAATCTCTCTCCTGCTCTCATGTGCTCAGCTCTGAGCCACAGAGAGATGGGAATTTCCAGGCTCCTCTAATGGTTTCTCATTTCATCTCCCAGAGTCTCTGCCAGAGCACTGCTTGCTGGTGTCCTCTGCTCCTGCCTAGGCTTTGGGCACTGACAAGTCACAATCTTTCCAACTGTTTTTCTTTTATTGGTCTTGATATTTCCCAGGCAGTGCCCTCCACAGCGCTGAGGCAGCCTGGATGCAGATGGCCAGGCCAGAAGCCTCTCCCCATGACAAAGCTAAAGAAAACGCACATTCCTTTGCAGTCATCACTAGAGACACACAGGTCCCTTCTGCCCACCCCTGCTCTCACACTGGGAAATGGTGGTGTCCATGTCTTGGGGGGAAAATGCTGCTGGGCCTCTGACCGTCTGCCCTCCGTCGTGGAGGCTGTCCTTCCTGTGACCCTAGTTGGTGCCTTGTGTTAGCCTGCACTTGGTACTCCAGTGAAGAACAGCATAACATGGGTACCAATGACTCTGTCCACCTAAAGGAAGGAAGGTTAATTTAAGACACTTGATTTAATTACAGTTCTTGAGAGAACAACATGCTGGAGCTATCACTAGGAACAAAGCAACAGTTTAGCTGGGGACAGAAATGCCATGTACAAGATGAGATGAAAAACTGTTAGAAATTGCAAAGTGACATAACCCAAAAAGCTCAAGTAAATGCTGAACCTCCTCAGCTTAATGCTGTGCATTGCAATAGTCTTTCCCCACATCACTGCACACTGTATCTTCACCATGACCCCAGCACACTGTGATAGGCCATGAATGAAGTGCTGCACCCAAGCTTCTCCCTACAGTTTAAGCTCTAGGCCCTTGCCCCTGCGCAGTCCCAACCTTGCCCTCTGCTCCCATATGAGAAGAAGCATTCTGAACCAAGGACCCCACTTTGTCCCACAGACACCATCCTGGTTCTGGGGAGAATGGGGACCAGCTAGAAGGACAGGCCTTTCAGCCTCCTCTGCTCCCAGAGTACCTTATGTATAACCCTAAAACATTCTTTATAATATTAAAACATCCTGGGAACATGGCATCTCCACTCTGACCCTCTGACATTCACTCTGGCTGCCTGGAGTTTCCAGTCTGGGGAGGGTGGAAATCTCATGGTGGTGCCCCCCCATCTAAGCACATGCCTGTGTTGGGGTTAGGTTGCCCCAGTGAGATAATTTGCAAAGCAAAGCCTTCCTGACCTGAGCTCGTGTTTTTTTTGGCCATGCTGCCTTGCCATGCTGCCTGCCTGCCCTGGGCTGTGGAAATACATGTGTAAGCTGGTTCATGATGCACAACCTCAGAAGCAGGAGAGAAATCATTTGACTCGTGTGTGTCATAGAATCATAGAATAGTTAGGGTTGGAAAGCACCTTAAGATCATCAAGTTCCAGCCCCCCTGCGATGCCAGGAACACCTCACACTAAACCATGTCAAGAGTGCTGGAAACAGATCAGCATGAGGCACAGGTGCCTTTGCATTGGAGAAAAAAGGAGCATTGCTAGCCTTTTGATGTCTCTCAGCGAGCAAGCAGTGACATCAACAAAGACAGAAAAAGATTTAGAAAAGCGTACTTGTAATAGCTGAACAAAAAGTGCCCCAAAGTGACAATTTTGATAGCTTGGGAGACGATTTGCTTTGTGTTGTGCCTGATTTGCCCATCATTTCACAGAAGATGAAACCTTGAACAGGAAGCACAGTCAAAATGTTCTGGAGAGATAAATGGTTGCTTCGTTACCCCAGTGCTAACATCCCACCCAGGGTGAACTTTCTCCATCCTGCAGTCAAAGATGGGAGGTTTCCATAGCCCTCAAGATAGGGATGGTTTAGGCTGTATTATTCAGAGCACTTCTGAGTGAGGGGAGAGACAAGGAGCTTGGAACAATCCTCCGCTTTCACCTTTCTGCTTGCCCTTCTGCAGTGAAAAAGTCTGCACAGCCATTATCACCCACTGCCCACTGGCTTTGCTGTGACCCTGATCCAGGGAGACCCCAGCTGTTTAACCAAGAGCCAAGCAAAAACTGAAATGAAGGACTGTGACTAATTAAGACGTTATCTTGTGAGCACAGTCAGATGAAAGCTCCTGGGAAGAGAATACAAAATTCCTAAGTAGCTGTAAAGTGGCTCTTTTCGCCAACCTGAAAGCACAGTACCACATAATAACTCACAGCTGCACATATTTGATCCTCCTCTAGCATCAGCTCATGCATTATTTACATCCTTATTACTGGCAGTGGAGCCGGGCAGAAGTGACGGTAATATCTGTTTACACCTGATGGGAGACAAGCGTTTTGCATAGCTCACACTTGTTGCTGAACACGGCCCAGAAAGGCAGGCAAGGAGCAGGTGGGAAATCAACTGAGCTTGGAGAAACTGGAACCCTTTATAAATCAGACAACAGGGAAGAGGAGGCATGTTCGGGAGTGTGAGCAGGACTGAACGGAAGATGGGAGAAACAGAGGAATCTCGTTCACTTCTGCCTCTATACACTGCTGCTGCAGAGAAAGTGAAGAGAGGAGTGGCACAGCTGGAAAGTCCTGCAGGATTAGCATTGCATGAAGCAACTGCATACTCTTAGAGTGAGCTGAAGTCCTTGTTAGTAGAGTCCATTGACTGACACTTCATGGCCTATGATAAAGGTAAGGGGGCAGGCCACTGGCCCAGGCAGGGAGCTGCTGTCTGGCTCAGAGACCTCTAATTGGCACAGAGGGCCCTGGTGTGCCTCTAAAAGAGGCAGTGAGGC